GTTGAGCGTTTATTTTTGCTACGGCCCACACGCAATCCATCCGGGTCGAAAATGGATGCGAGATTACGGTGATCTGTGAAGATGTGCACATCAACCCCAGGAAATACCCCAATCACTTGAACGTACTCTCACAATCGCGTACCCTTCCTGAACCACCATTGCCCACCGCTGCTGCGCGCCCTCGAAAGTGCCGCTCAGAACCCCCCCCCATCGGCTCATGAGTCACATTCTCTCCACAAGAGCGCCATGGCCCAGATGATCTTGAGGAACTTAGGTGAGAAAACTCCCCCACTGCTCATCGGACGCATCGGGAAACGTAAGCACGGCGCAACCTGGGCGCGGGCAAGACAAGGGAACAGCGTGGGCAAACAAGGGCTTGCACCGCAGTCCACGCTCCGACCAGCGCGGGCGTCCATGCATCCGTAGCGATCGCGCGATCCTCGACCACGCGCTTCGTCCGACTCTTGGAGCCAACTAAGTGCCCCCGAAAAACATGCTGAGCAGCCATGCCACCTCCATTATCCGTTGGAGACAAACGCAGCCAATTTACCGCCTGCAAAAGCTGCATCAGCTCGCCAGCCGTCTCAGGACGTGCTGCATTGAAGCGAGGCCGTTGAGTCGCCCCGAGATCATGCTGGACCTTGCCCTGCGAGTACAACTCGTGAGCGGCCACGTTAACGCCGGCCTCCTCCAGACGCTCAAGGATCAGGTCGAGTGTGTCAACCAGATTATTATCCTCACCCACCTCCCAATACACGATATCGTCCACCCAGATAAAGGAGTTGAACCCCCTCCAGAATGCGCACAAGGGTGGCCTGGAAGTGCGATGCAGCTTTCAAAACACCTTGCAGCACCCTTTCAGACCTGTAGAGGCCGTCAGGTGAAGCGATCGTGAAGGTTTCTGCGCCTCCTGAGACAACGGACACTGCCAGTACCCTTGAAATCAATCCAAGCCCCCATGGATGTTGACCGCACTGAGCTTAGCCATACTGGCTTCAGGGTTTGGCACACCACCAGGCACCTTCTCCTCTTTCGCCAACCGCACATTCATTCATCACCGTTATCCCCCTTTTCTTCAGAGTCGCCATCGCGGCGCTGGCTCACACGGCCTGCATGATGAGGAACATGAGCCCCAACGCGACCAGAGACGCCATTCGTCGCCGGGTGGGTTGCGCACCCGCCGGGAGCCGGCCGCGCTCCGGGCTTGAGGGTGAACCGTATAGAGGCTCGACGTTCGCGGGAGGATCACCATGACGTAAATCACGACGGAACTCGTTCGGTGCCTGCTTGCTGATGATGCCTTGCAGACCTCCCACATGCGGTTCCTCCAAGCCAGCGGCAACCGCGGAAGAGACAGCACTGTTCAACGATGCAGATCGCGCCGATGCCGCCTCCTCGGGGCTCATGTCCATGTCCGGGCGTCGCGCCACCAAATGCTCGACCGCCGGATCCAGCTTTTCTTGGTCCGGGCCCTCACGTTGCTGCAGGGCATCAACGGCAAATGTATCTCAAAGGTTTATTGTGTACGCCAACGTCTCAACCGCGAAGCTAGCACGCAATACCCAACGCCTTCAGCGTCGGGTTCCAACGAATGACCACTCATCATAACGAGCGGGTCCACCGACATCAACCCCTAGCTGGTGTACAAAGCAGTAGTACGGAGCAGGTTCTTCGTCACCTCCAGCAAGCGGCCGTCCGAAACTTTCAGCTTCCCCGGATTTGGCATGCCCCCCACGACATGCACATCTGGTAAAGCAGTTTACAGCCTACTCGGGAAACCTGCTGAAATGGTGGTGAGCCCTATAACAGAACCTAGAAACGCACCCAGAATGGCACCCAGAATCCCGACGGCGTCGTGGAAAAGAGAGCTATATGCCCTCCGTTGACCCCCTAGGGCAGTCTCACCAAGGTGTGAGGGGGGAGGCGAGGTACCTTGGACGCCACAGAGAGGGATAGAAGGAAAAAGAAAGGAGGGAGAGAGTACGAGACGTTCAGACGTCGACAGAGGCCCCCGGATGGGACAACAAGAAGGTACCATCAACACATCCACACATATCTGGGCCCTTACCAGAGCCCTGTCCACACGTCTATCGCCGGTCATATCGTAGCCCAGGCACTGACAAGCTCACTTGGCACCATTTTTCCGGTGAATCCATCTCGACACCTTCAGAAACCCAGACATACCTCTGGGCTGAACACCACAAGACGCGGTGGCACCCCCACACCCTCAGTCGGCGCTGGAAAAGATACGGGGGTAATGGTAGCGACCGGAAACCGGTCCGGTGGCAAACAGGGCATCGAAGTTGCCTACCCCAGGGTTCGTAGACACGCCTGAAGTCAGGCAGGGCCTAGGATCAGTACCCTCCCCCCGTGGGGGGGGTCTCTTATGTTTTGCATGTCTTAGCGGTTAGACCATTGACCACGCGTCCTCGCGAGGACGGAGCATTGTTCCCACAGGACCGATCACCGATGGCCAATCGTTCCTTCCTACTTTGCCAAAGGTGGTTCAAAAATGTCTTCCCTAGTCTGTCTATCCTAACGATGTCCCTTCCCGACTTTTCAAACCACTTCCTACTCCCCAGTACAGCTACCGTCCTCTCCTCTCTATTCCATGCCTCAAACATCTCCCTGTACGTCCCTTGTATTTTTCCCAGCCCATTCATGTACACTTCCCTCTCCTCTTCGTACCACGGACATTCCGCGACTACATGAACACGGTATTCGCACTCGAAGCCGCAATCACATTTGAACTTGTCGTCTTCGTCGTCTACCGTCGTATGTCTTCGTCGACGTTCTCGAAGGCCTATGTCCCCGGTCCTGAATTTGACCTTAAGCTTTGTCCCTGCATCCATTGGTCCATGCAGGTAGTCCTTGAACCCTATTCCTTCTTTCAACATTCCGTACACTTCTAGACCCTCCTTATCCTTGGTTTCTTTCCTTAGATTCCGTTCTTTTCTCTCGGCACAAGCAACAGATATCTTCTCCTTGAACCCCTGTAGACCCTCCGTTTCCAGCGTTTCATCTTCGTCGATGTCTAACCCCTTCCATACGTCCTCTACAACCTTGACCCATTCCGTGCGTTGTCCACCCCTCTTTTTGTTTGCCCACTTCGCCTCCCATACTATTCTCGGCAACCTCTCCTCTCCCATCCCGCACATGCGATACTGCCATGTCAGCTTCCTTGCGTCTCTTCCCGACCGTAGGGGTTGGATTCCCAATTCTGCCCTGGCGGCTGCATTACTTGTGCGCTTGGAGCATCCCAGGATGATTTTCGCTGCTTTTATCTGTGCCGCCCCAAGTTCTTTCACTACCTTCTTATTTCCTTCCCATACTTTTCCGGCCCACGGGGGCTGGTCAATTCACCTCCTTGGTGATGGTAAACACAGTGCATTATTATTGCACGCGAGTCTCGTCTCTCTCTCTCCATCTATCTCTCTCTCCTGCCAACATGCCAACCAGGCAGATAGAAACCCCTATCTACCATATCTTTGACATGCATACATATCCAACGGCAGCTTCCCACCGTGAACTACTGCTGCTACCCAGGTGCGCTTCGTCCACAATGCCCCCAAAGCGTATTACTACCGGAGTAGACATTGTAATCAGCTTGAACTCAAACAGCAGTAGTAGGCACCTGGTTGTACTCAAGAAGAAAACGACAGCGGTGTTTGTGAATGATAAACACCCACCTGTACACGGCGATATCATGCCTGACTAAATCATGCCACACCAATTCGTCAGTCAGCGCAAGTGTTCAACCTCCCATGCAAAACGTAGAATGCCCCCATTCAACAGTCAAGGATCTCGACGCTTCAAACGACAAACACGCACGTGTCGGACGACCACACAAGATTGGCTAAGTCCGGTAGACACGCGTACAGAGAAATTTACGCAATGGATGGATGACCAACACACCGCAAACAACGCGAAATGGGCAAAGTGGCCACACGCAAGGAAAATGATGAAAAAACAAAAACAACCCAGAGGCAACGCTGAAAACTGTTACGAGGCGCTTCCAGGGTTGAATTGAAATATCTCGAAATACCAAACATACATGGCGAAACGATCGGCATGATCGTTGAACAAGCCAATGTCGCGAAATTAGACAAACGTACGTAGCTTGCGAAGAAATACCACCAGTACGCTGTCATAAGGCGCCCTCCATGCAGTTGAATCACACGCAAAAGACGGGCACGCCACATTATCAATGCGCGGCAAGCTGAAGAATGTACAGAAACAGTCAGCGAAGAAATGCTATCAATGCTCGACAAGGTAGCCCTCGCTCAACTCAAACAAATGAAACACAAATGTGAAAGAAGTCAGCGAAGAAATGCTATCAATGCTCGACAAGATAGCCCTCACTCAGCTGAAACAAATATATCACAGGGCAATGCCGTATTGTTGCTTCAACTGAGCCCGAACCTTTTTCGGCAGACCCAGCCGCCGCACTTGAATTTGACGAACTGCAGCGCGGCATCCCACACCTTGGACAACTCTTCCCAGGTGGTCTCTTCCTTGTCGAATCCGGCCCACTCTACTTCCACGTCGAACCCAGGGCCATCTTCCGCCACCGACATATCCACGATCGCCGCCATCTCGAACTCTCTCTGCGTGAAAGCATGCTGAAAGACCTCCTTCAACTCGGCCGTGATTTCGAGAGCGGCATCGGCGTAGAACCACAAACGCGCGACATGGACGTCCCGAACTTCCCCCGACACGATGTTCTGGACTCCGTCCGTACACATGCAGTCTCTCGGCGGCGACAATCCTCCACGGCCCCGTCCAGGTCATGAGAAGTTTCGGTGTCGCACCACGCTGGCGAACACGCGCCACCAACACGTAGTCCCCCACCACGAAGTCAGGCAGACTCTCAACTCGCGCAGACGCCCGGTGCTTACTCCGACTCGCCTGCACCTTGTCGAGAACTTCCTTGTGCAGGTGACGTTGAGCCTCGACGTCGTGCTGCACCCTCAGCAGCAAAGGCTTCTCATCCAGGACGTCTACCTTCCATTTGGCGCCTATGGACGGCGTCAAAGTGGAAAGCGCGGTGCGTGGCGCTCTACCAAACATGACGTGGTACGGCGTCGAGCCGTATCGTTCGCGGAAAGCGGTGTTCAACGCCCATTGCACAGCTGGTACCAGATCAACCCAGTCACGAGTACTCCTCCGCTCTTCCTGAATCATGGCCTTGAGCGTACGAACCACCTCGCGCATCATGCGCTCGCACGTACTGTTAGACCAGGGAGAGTTGGCGACTGAAAATTTCCGGTCAACACCGAGTGCAGTCTCAAGGCCAGCCATCATGTGATTTTTGAATTGGGAAGCGGTATCACTCACCCAAACCTCCGGCACAACCAAGATCTTACACCACGTCAGGAGATGTTGCGCAGTCAGGCGGGCAGTGCATGCTCCGGTGGGCTCCAGCCAAACCCAGTTGGACATGTCGTCCATCATGACCAAAATGTACTTAAACCCCCTCCTCTTCCAAGCCATCATCCCCCAGCGGGCCACTCGCTCCCACGCAGAGGTAGTCAAAATGAACAACTTCGCCAGGGCGAGTGCCATGGACGGTCTCTCCAAGCGGGCGAGGCACCTTTTCTCCCGCCTTAGAGTCCATGCAATGCAGGCACTGCTTGACGAAGTCAGTGACATGCTCTTCCATCCGAAACCAGCAACAGTACTCGGACAGGCTCTGCAAGGTGGCGACGGCGCCACGATGCCCGGCTTCTTTCATGTGCGCACAGACCATCAGTCGCACCTGCAACGCACTCGCCTGATCTGGAATCCAAAGCACGTCTCGCCCGTTCATGCCCACGCGAAACAATCCCTCGTCATCCAGAGTCGCCGTCCCCACCGCCGTCGAAAATGACGTGGCAGGCCCGGCAAGCGCGCCGAGCTTACTCCGCGCCGCTTGATGTGCATCACATACTACTTACTTGCTTCGACGGCGTGGCGGCATCAGGTTCGCTGGGGGCTTATACCGCGGCAGCGCCAAAACTCACCGACGGCACAGAGACCCATCGCGACAGAAGGTCCCCCCAGCAATTGCGCGCACCCGAAATGTGCCTGATGGTGAAATCGTACTGGCCCAAGACAGCTTTCCACTGGTCCAGGCGCTGAGCCGTGGTTTTCGCTACGGCAGACACGCAAGCCTCCGGGTCGAAGATGTACGCGAGATTACGGTGGTCGGTGAAAATGTGCACACCACCCCAAAGCAAATACTCCAACCGCTTGAACGTACTGACAATCGCGTACCCTTCCTTGTCCACCGTGGCCCACCGCTGCTGCGTGCCCTTGAAAGTGCCGCTCAGAAAGCCCATCGGTTCATGAGCCATATTCTCCACAGGAACGCCACGATCCAGCTGGTGTTGGGGCACTTGCGTGAGAAAGCTCCCCAAATGCTCATCGGATGCATCGGGAAACATGAGGACGGCGCAACCTGGGCGAGGGTGAGACAGAGCAACGGCACGGGCAACAAGGTCTTGCGCGGCAGTCCACGCTTCGACGAGCGCGGGCGTCCACGCATCCCCAGCGATCGCGCGATTCTCGGCCACGCGCTTCGTCCGGCTCTTGGCACCACCCAAATGCTGCTCCAGAAACACGCGAAGCGGCCACACAACCTCCGCCATCCGCGGCAAAGACGTGCGCAGCCAGTTTACCGCCTGCAGGAACGGCATCAGCTCGCCAGCCGTCTCAGGACGCCACATTGTAGCCAACCCGCTGAGCCGCTCGGGATCGTGCTCGACCTGACCCTCCGAGTACACCTTCCCGCACCAAGTGATGCTGGTCTCAAAGAATGTGCACTTGTGGGCGGCCACGTAAAGGCCAGCTCCCTCCAGACGATCCAGAATCAAGTCAAGGGTGTCAAGAAAGTCGTCTTCATCCATCCCCCAATATACGACATCGTCTACCCAGACGAAGCAATTCAGCCCGTCCAAGATGCGCGTAAGGGTGGCCTGGGAATACGACGTGGGCATGTGTGTAGAGACCACCCGGCGTAGCAATCGTGAAAATTTCCTGCGCCTCCGGAGCCAACGGGCACTGCCAATACCCTTCAAGAGTCGCTAGAAGTGAGCAAAACACTGATGGAGTTAATGCTAACCTTTGGTGTACCCGTTTCGATCCGAAGTGATGCGGGAGGAGAATTTATGGCTACAGTGGTCAATCATTTCATCAAATGGTTGAATGTAACACTTGATCATAGACCAGCAGATTTCTCAAGGAGTCAGGAAGCAGCAAAAAGAATGGGAGGATGGTTTCAGGAATTTTTGTCTATTCTATGCCAATCGTGGCCTCTGCGATGGGATCACTATGTCCTCCCAGCTTGTTGGATTCAAAGGGTAACGCCAGATCCGACTTTACCAGGAAACCAAACACATTTCAGCATTCTCTTTAGACGTACACCTCGCACGCCTTTAGATTCCATAACTCAAGATACCGATGGGACTGAGTTTAGAGGGGGCATGGATAGCTACATTGCCGAATAACATCAGTCATTTGTGGAAGTTCGCAACGCCTTGGAAATGCGACAAGCTCGGAAAAATCGGCAAAGAGAAATAGCTAATGCAGCAAATAAACGAGCATCGGCAGGTAGTCAGGTTGAAAAAGGGGACTTAGTTCTGATCCTAGAGACTGACTGTTCTTTAAACTCTCAAGGTGTTCATCCTAAGCTGATTCATGAGCATTACACTGCACCGTGGATCGTAACGGAGGTGATTAGGCTTGGACACAGCATAAAAGCTCAGATGAACGGTCGGCGAATTCGAAGGAGAGTGGTTTCCGCATCTAGTGTAAAGTTATTCCACTTACGTCAAAAGGAACTCCGCCATGAATTCGAAGACGAGTTTGCACACTGCGCGTAGAATCTACACAAAATACTATGATGGGCCGTGACTGTCCGGTGGTCGCGGCGCTATTATAGGGGTATGGGGGCCATAAAACAGGAATTGAAGTATCGGACGCTTCCCTGTTTGCCCTCTAGAGGATTCGAAGAGGCGGCGGTTATGCCGCATCTACGAAGAAGAGACAACTTCAACATGTTTCTCCGTGGCACGTTTTCGCGAACGTTGCTACCCACCCGGTGTTAACTTTAACACCCCCCCATGTGGACGGAAGAAAATATAGCCTGTTAAAGTGCACGTTATCACCCGTTAACATGTCTATCGCATTCCTTACTAAGTCATGCTAACCTGGGATGATGGCTTGATACCGTATGCTATGAGATGTACGTGTTCACGATCGTCATTCGCACGTAGGTCGTCAGCAAGCTGCGACACTATTTGCTTGATACCGTACAAGGAATGGATACCATCCGGGAGAGATCACGACGACAGGTAAGCGCAACCCCCCTACATCACACTGATTCCCAGCCCCGAGGAAACGGTCTACGCACGAACTGTACTCAGCTACGAAGGTCCACGCACATACCGTACTCAGCTACGAAGGTGAGAGAGGTATGAGCGTTTTGTATGAGCGTCTTTTAGCTGTTTTAACATGTACTCCCCAAACCTAAAACAAATAAATAAATGAACACACCCCACATATATATATATATGTTATTGCCTGCCCAAAACCAAAAACATTCTCCAAACCTATAACCAATTAATTAAATCAAACACCCCCCATAATGATGTAATAGAACCCGCAGACGAGATGCTACAGGGCGGCGGGCTTCACGACTCCGGTGATGGACTTGTATTGAAATCGCCGAGCAAAAACAGCTACTGCAGCGAGGCAGGCCTCACAACTTCATCGATGAACTGATGTTGAAGCTTTCCCCAAACTCGAGCCTCTGCACGGAGTTCGACACAGGTAACTCCGATGATGGACCGATTGAATCTGCTCTCGAACTCTCTTCTACATAGCAGTTGTAGCAGCCCCGGTTAAGAACTTTGGTCGGTTAAAACGCCCTTCTCTAGGAATGTTTTGATAAACTTACTTCGCGAATGGGTGTCAAATCTTCTAGTTTGGCTGCCGCCGGCTTGATAGCCGTTTTTGGCCTTTCGTCAGCTGCCAAGCTTGCCCCCCACACGGCGATGGCCGAGGCTCATCTCGGCGAAGATGGTTTCGAGACGATCCTCCCGACCCCCCGCCCTAGGCCAGACCTAGCTACAACCGCGAGGTGCGCGCTCAGTCAAGTCTATATAATCTAGAAAACCCTCGCCCTCTCACAAACTTATCTCCACCTTGGCAAAAGAGGGGTGGGTCTGCACCTGGGAGGGTGAAAAAATCAAGTGTTATACGTCAAGCTTCATGAAATTGCAGGATATAGTTTCAAGCCGTCTGGAACCCCGTTCAGAGCCAACCCGTCGCCCATATGACAGCTTTACTTTAATTTTAACACAGCCGAGGAGAAAATGATGCGTTTCGTAAAGTCATAAATATGACCGTTTGTCTCCAAGGCCGCCATCTCGAATGACATTTTTCAGATGCAGACTGTACCTGTCTCGATCCTTACGACTCTCGGCCAGCGATATAGGGTCCGTCCTTTCGCTGAATTCAACATCTTAGGTCAAGGTGGGGGAGAGTAGTAGTGCAGCAAACATCATCGCCGAGAAACGGAATTCAAACGCTATTTGTTGTGAGCTCTATATCTGCTGCCCCACGTCGCTGCCGCCAAAAACAATAACTTGGCTTCAAGTACCGCCGAAACAACACCGCCGTCCTGCACTACACTGCCGAAACGCAACGCCATATATCTTGAAATATTCTGAAGGACTACAACGCCAAACATCTGATTGCAATTATACATACACCGCACGCGGACAGGAAATCAGTACTTGCTCCCGGCAGCCAACACTTGCTCAGCACCTTTGACTTCTCAAATGCGGTGCCCTCTGGGACAACGAAAACTAGAACACATTTCTTGACTGATACATCCTCGGATGCAACAGCTGCGTCCCAGAAACTCTGTACTGTAGATCCTTGCTTGATAGGCTCTGCGCCTGCATACTTCATTTGGAAAAAGTACAAAGTATCATCACGACTGTCCAAAGCGAACGAATTCAATCCCCGGAAATACCAGACTGTTTGGTCTGTAGTAGATCTCACTGTCATACTTAAAGGCAGTGTCGTTGCCCTTGAATACCTTTACTTGGTTGAAACTCAAATCCCATTTTTTTCTCTCCCCCGATAGAACCTCACTACGTGTAGCGTTGAGGATTGCCATATCGAACGGTACTCCCGCGGCTCGGCGCTGGCTGATTTCGAGGTGTGCAGCTTGTTCGAACATATTGCCGACGGTACTTCCTCCTCCAAGCATTCTGGAAACATCGGGGTTGCGGATAGATTCCCCCACAAAGGCTAGCAGTGCATCTCTTCCCCTCTCGGCAACTCCTAGTGCAATCGAATCACGCGTGTAGTTGCTCGCGAACGTGACCGTGTAACCTTTGAAATTATCGCCAGAGTTCGACAAGATATGGAACAGTTTATCGCCTATCTCATCGGTTAGAATCCTGTTCTGCCCGCTCGAAAGCCTAGCTGCCCGTCTCAGCAAAGCCACATCTACTTCGCCCGCCGCTAACAATATACCATCTTTGAGAAGCTCAAACTTCTTCACGTTGAAGACTGCTCGTGCCACACCTCCAACTACACCGAAAGACTTCACCACGTCGGTATCTAGCACATGAGGGAAAACAACTCGTCGACATTTCAGAAGCTCTTCCAGTCTCCACACTGGCATGAATATTCGCTCGGAAGTGGGTAGCTTCAAGAACTCCTTAATCCTTTCGTAGTTGGGCGATACCAACACAACCGTTTTGCCTACGAAATTCTCCTCAGGCCGGCCCTTCGGGTCACTTAAGTACCAAGCCGTTGGGTCTTCTGTCAAAAACCCCGCCGTCTTGAAACTAGAAAACTCTCCCTCGGCCACTCCGTCATCACTGAAACGGTACCAGAAGCCCTTCCGTTCAAACACTACAGTTTTCCCTTCGCAGCGAAGCAGGTACAGGAGATAGTATCCGAACATCGATTTGCCGATTCCCGGAGTGCCTGTGACCACGATATCTTGCACTTCACCGCTCAAGATGAGGTCTGCCATTTCCTTGTAACAAGGACGGATGAACAGCTTGGATCCCCAGTCACGGTTGCCGAGAAAGGACGTGCCGTTTGCGAGTTCCAGGGTGTCCTCTGTTACCACGGCTCCGGTTAATGCCACCGCAAAATCCGATACGTTCTTCTTGGCTGCAACGCGAAGGGGATCAAAGACGACCATGGCGGAAGCAAAGTGTTGGGACAGCGTTGATGAGCAACATTATTCCGCCGGCGAAGCCGATTACAGCAATCGCACAGGGAGAAAATGACGGGCATCTGCATCAAGCATATAGCCTGACTGGCCCTGCGTCGACAAAGTCGCAAGACATTGAAAGCACGCCAAACACACACGGGTAGAATGCCCGTGCATGAAAAAGGATAGGGACACCGCTGTTGTAGCGCAGAGTACGAAACACCCTACATTGAATTTACGGCAAGAGACACGAGCGAATATCGCGAACCCGTCCTCGTGGAAATCGCAAGGGGGCCACGGAAGAGCCAAGCACAGGGAGGGCTGGACAGGCAGCCGGTGTCGATGCTCTACTCCTACCGAAGCACCTGCTCCCTTGCAATACCTCGCAACACCTTGCAATACATGCGACCCATATCTGTGTACCAGAACCAGCAAACATCCCCGGAGTCGGGTTTCACAAGGTTGGCATTCTTCTCAAACGTACCTAAATTTCACCGCATCCTCACAATGCGTCCGTTCGCGAGGATCTGCTGAAAGACTGTGTAAATACAAAGATTGCTATGAAATCACGGGCCACGAGCGCCCCTTTCCTCCTGCAGCCCCATTCATGTCATGGCATGTCGTCACAATGAACATGCGAAAAAGCACTGGCACGAAGATAGCTTCAAAAGAGACACAAGCAAGTGCTCTCCGAAGGGAGGGCGTGAGGAAGGCTGTGGGTGCATGCGCTCAAAATTCTTGAGCAGCTCAAAACGATTGTGTCAAAAAAGCACGATCACCCGAAAACTCGCTCGGAGTACACATCCAGAGTGGAACAAGCATGCGGTGACTTTCAGACCGCAGGCGTTCGGCAAGACAGTGATTCTTCGATTGTTTTGCGGTATACTGTCAATTTTCCTTCCCGGCACACAAATGACCACGAGGGTAAATCCGGTCGCCCCGGTGGACTAGTTGGTAGACACGCAACCTTCTAGAACGAGGTCATGGGTTCGAGCCCGACGAAGCGAATTTTTTCTCACATTCGTTCCTGGAAATTGAAAGCGATTCGTTGGTAAATATCTCTACTTCGATTCGGGGAGTGTTGAACCCTGCTCGCGATAAAAATATAACAGGCAGGCACCGCAGGAGGGGGTCCACCCCCCCCCTCCTGTGTGACCCTGGTTGGGTCGTCTAGCTAGTCGTGGTGGAGGATGAGGGCCAGTGGGGCAGACAACAAAATCCAATGATGGGAAGATATAACGTGAGAGTAACACTCCGTATGTAAGCAGAGGAGGACTTGTCTACAGCGTTCTGCAGCCAGGTGGGACAAGAAAAGGTCGCACGTGCTGTAGTTGCTGAGGAGCGTAGATCTACCATAACGTCCGCAGGTTGCTTTGAAAGAGGAGGCGACTTGCCCGTGCCCCGTGCAAAACGACAGCACTACAAATGTACCGGCCACAAAGAACTCCTCGAATTGTTTCAAATGGTCTGCTTTTATTGCGGGCGGCCTGCATCCCCTTCCTAATCTGTACACTGCTGTGGATCTTCACACATAATGGGACGCTTCTATACCTGCGGGGGCGTTGTTGGCACGAAACTGCTCACTCCTGGAGAGCCGGTCCTCCGTCTTCAAAAGGAGCTCGCGGAGCTGCTCCTCCTTCCTGCGTAGTTGCTCCTCCTTCCTGCGTAGCTGCTCCTCCTTCCTGCGTAGATGCTCCTCCTTCCTGCGTAGTTGCTCTAGTTGCTTCAAGAGGGCTTCGGGGTCGGTCATTCCGAGGTACCTGGCGCCCCCAGCAATAGCAGCCTCAATATCATCAATCTTCTTGACAACCTCTGCCGTCTCCTCCTCTGCATCCTCGATCTTGCGCTCTACACCACGGATCTCATCCTGGACCGCACGGATCTCGTCCGCCGCCGGAAGGCGATCGGCAGCTTCTCGCGCATGATGATCGCCACCACCCTCCTCCTCGTCGCCCTCGCTCATCGCGCTCAAGCCCGTCATCCCTCGCACCGGGTAAAACATTTGCGCCCCACAAGTGCCACACGCCCCGAACACAGTGCAGATCGCACCAGAGGGCTGCGAGAGCGAACACGTCGCCGCCGCAGGCGTGGAAGCAGGGGGCTGCAAGCGTGAAGACCTGAACGTCGCAGTCCAGCTCGGGACGAAGGCCAAGCATGCTTGTGTGATACAAACCAGGAGAAGAACCGACACATAATGCCTTGACATCTTGAAACCAATGCTCTCTTCGCTTCGCTTCGTAGTTTTTTGGTGTACTCCGGCCTCGGGCCAGCTTTTTAATTTAATTCCGCCGCCGAAGGCCGCGCAACGTATACGAAAACTTTTTGCGCGCGCGCAGCGGGCGCTTAGAGCTGAGAGAGGGAGAGAAAAAGGAAAGAGACGGAGGAGACCTTTACTACTGGAGACTTTACCTTTTGCCGCATATCTCTTCGAGAAATGCTTCGGTTTTTAAAACAGATTTTTGTTTCTGATAGCTGGGAATGATGCGGATATAATGGATGGTGTCTGGAGACAAGTTGGTGCAAAGGCGTTGCAGTGGAGCATTGCGAAATCAACTAATAATAATGCTCCTGAAGGTTGGTGTCCCCACGAAGCAAGGCGCCCTTGTTACCTAATTGTTAGAAGTGGAACGTTCATTTGCATCCGAACACTAATTTCCCTGCAATGGCCGCTTCATGAACGAACATGGCATTCCTGCTCATCATGAGAAAGAATAGACGTTCGGAAACAGCAAAATAATTGTGGCATGCCAAACAACCGTAGGCTTCACAAAAGGGTACTTGTACACACACCCAGAAGAAGAAATGTTCATCATCTCCGTCAATCACCGAAAAGTGTTGCTTCACCTGCGCTTGATGCGTCACTGCTGATGATGTGGCTCTATCGCTCCCAGAGTTTTTTCGTCTGTATGCATAGTTTGACATGAGCAGTAAATTTTGCATGGTTCAGGAAAATTTCCCGTCTACAGTGTGTGGCCTTATGCATGCCTCCTCCGTTCGTTGCGCTCCTTCCTTTCGTTGCGCCCATTTCCAACACGCATCGACAGAAACTCAAGCCAGAGAATACATAAAGCAGAAGCAAGTTAACGGACGCCCCAACCATGTCAAAACACCCAAAGATGGGAGTGCACAACACTGGGCAAGCAAGGCTCGTACTTCACACTCGAACGGGTGTTCATGGCAACTGTCGCTGCTGCCAGAATCCTCCCTCGACGTTCCTAGTCTCATCCCTCCTCTAGCCAAGCATGTATATTTATTTATTAGTTTGGGAAACCCCGCCCATAGCAAAGCAGCTCAATGCCGACCAGGACATTCATGGGCAATCGAACGACAGCCACAACCACCTGTTGGCGATGCCGTCAACACTCAACATCCCATCCACCCCCACGTTCTGCACGCATTCCCTCGGCGGAGGCAGCACACGGGATGCGGTAGAGATGCCCACCGAGCACTCTTTTCATGCACAACCACGCTGGTTCCCGCTCGTCTTGGGCAGCATCGTAATTCTCCATCAATCGACCCACCCTCATCATGCGGCCTCTCCCTATCGCAACGTTCTTGCGTGAAGTACGGGCTCGTTGGTTTCCTGCATGCAGAGCGGGCATACGAAGTATACACATCAGGCCGAAATGGCGTACGATTCGAAAGGGTGGTGCTGGGCAGCAGCAACGGCAGACATGGAAACATTTTCCGCATAATCTCGTAGAACGACAGATGGACTACAACACTGGCAGAAAAACGCGATCTTGTTGCGATGGTACCACCGCAGTCGTTGAGGCAGCTTCACACGCCACCTACGCGAAGCGAACAAAACATCCACCCGCCTTTCTAACGCCAAAATCAACGTACGCGCCAATACACACACGCCATGCACACGGCAAAAAACAAGGGGTGCCGTGCTGATGAGCGCATCAAACATCGGACGGAGGGAAGTAGGACTCCCGCAAAAAAGCGTTACACGATTTACGCAGAGACAGCGTCAAGATAAAATGCGGACGTGAAGTCTCTCGGGACGCCTTGTTTCAATATTTCAATAACTGTCTCGAGCGACCTTCGCTCCTGGTCTTTACGGTACTCGACACGAAACAACTGCTGTCACGAAAAACAAAACTACTTGAGGAGGAGGATGGCCATTTGCGCGAGGCCTTATTGGTACGCTCTTAATCGCAGCAGCAGCAGCAGGTTTGTGCAGCGGCAGTTATAGTCAGGTGCTCGCCGTCTGCTGCTTGCTGTTCCAGGAATGAGACTCTGTACGATTGACTTCCCGCTGGCGCGCATGTCCTGGGAGGGTGCTACGAAGGTACTATTTAGATCACACACCCAGCACACGGGCTCCCTCTCTTGGTTTAAGATCCGGCTCTAGCGTAAATACAATGAAGCCGCCCTGCTCATCGTCACGATAAACCTCTTCGCAATTTGTTGCGAAGGTACCAGGTGACACAACCTGCGCGTCAGAACTTTTTTTATATAGCTTGAGATTGGGCTCTACCGGCTCTACCGCGAAGAGCCGCCCTACTCGTCCTCACGATACACGCTTTTCGCAACTGTGAAATTCAACATGCCACTGCTGACCTCGCGGCTCCCACTGATTGGCATTTCCGCCTAAATATCTACGGGAAAAGAGCGCAGGCAAGCGCAGAGATCGGCCGGCTGGTTGACGCTGCAACTGTTGGACGGTAAGTATGTCATGCTAAAATCCTGACCGACATCATGGTGATGCGCGGGAGCGGGGGAGGGGGGTGTACTCATAGTCGCGCATGCCGTAGTCGTTAGACCATTGACCTCGCATCCCTGCAAAGCCGGGCTCTCACTGGACCAGGCTCTCACATCACCAAGCGCGAAGCGCCGAAAGGTATTCGGCGAGTTGCATGGAGGGTGGCGCTGCATCCTGCTACAAAGGGCGCTGCTTCTTGTGCTTACTTCCTTTCATACGGATGACAGACAACTGCGGATGACTTTGTTAAAAAAAAATTGGGGGGGGGCGGGGGGGCGGGGAGAGAGATTCACAAAAGGAGTTAAAAAGAGGAGTAGAATACAACACATGGAAACCATTCTTGATCTGCTCGAGACTCCGATGAACCAAAAACTCAGCGTCGAAACGAGGCAAACGCGAACCACAGCGAACGGTTGATAAACACACCTGCCGTGTTGGTGAATCCATGATGCATGGACATGCAGCGCTTTCCGTGCAGGCAGCGCCCTTCATAGCGCGCAGTCGCTCATGTTACTGATGTCTCCATACGCATCCTTCCGCTTTGAAGGTTGGGCACCTCCCGCTGTCGAATAGAATGAGGTTGAACGACAAGGCCCGATGCGGGGCGAAACAGGGACGGTTGGGCTTTGCGCAAAGAAAAGCGAAAGCCGACACACCCAACACAGAGTGCAAAAAGCAGCATACCGCATCTCGTCAGGTATGATGGTACCAAAACGGTGGTGAAGAGGTGGTGGTATACGAAATGAGTGCACAGATACCGCTGTTCTCGTTTACAGCTTGGCAGTACAGCAGTAGTAGAGTTTTGAAGTGTGATTGCAATGAGCTCACAGCCGTCATCACTCCACATCGATTTTCGTCGATGCACTTTGAAACACAACTACAATAATAACTGCTGACATGCATACAACATGGTTAATTATCCGTGATGGAACGCTGAACAAGCAAGCGAAAGGTGAATTAGGAGCAAAGAGGTACCACTGCTGTACGAACGACTGCTGCTCATGGACGGTATCGACGGTATCTCTACTGGCTGTTGGAGACTTTGGATGTACCGGGCTTGTAATTTTCTCTCCCCGTACTGTAAGCAGATGTAGCTGGCAGTGCGAACGTCTTCAACCTCTTACCTCTCTTGTTACAGCAGCAGGTAGAAGCATGGTGTGCTGCTGTGCTGCAGCAACAGGTAGGTTCATCAACTGGTCAGGGCCAGCAGGAGCATTGGGCCTCGCCATCATACCCCAAGTGGTCGACTACGCTCCAGCCCTTCGCCTTGTCCTCCCTGTGCTTGGCTCAACAAGCATGTCTGCCGACTAGAGTCGCGGAGAAGAGCATCGCTCCAGCAGGATAGGGCATGACAGCAGCACTACTCTAGGTGCGGCGCTACCTCGGCGTGCGCGCGCGATGCAGAGCAAATGCAAAGCAAATGCAGGGCACTGATTGGCCAATGCAAAGCAAAAAGGTTTGGATGACCTTGCATTTTTACGATGCAAAGCACAATGAAGCTATCTGATTGGTCAATACAAAGCAGATCTGGCCCGCTACATACCAGCTTCACCGGGTTGCGGCGGCTTCGTACGGGTGCGGCGGTGAGCTAACGTCGTTCGTGAGTATCTCGCACGCGGATCGAAGACGGGTCGCGACGGCGTCCGTGGGCCCACCGCACATGTCCAAAACGCATCCCGTGATATCCACAGCACCCAGCAAAGCATCCACCGCCTCAGGCGAAGTGCAGTACCTATCAAGCCATCGACGCCTCAAGTGCGTTTGTGGTGCAGGAGCAGTCCTCCACATCTTGTCATGGCGAGGCGTCCGAGCTGCCTTGCGCGCTCGCCAGTCTTTACTCCGGTCCTTGCTAGCCCTTTTCTCGTGCTTTTTGTACAGCTGCAACAAGCAAGCAGGACGTTTGGGAGAATAGCGCGAGGGTGGCGCAAATGAGGAGCAAAGAACAGGGAGAACCAAAAATATTTTTTGGTGGAAAAAAAGTCACCTTCGGGGAAAAAAAGGTCATCCGAGCAAGGATCGATCTCATGACCTGGTGGTTACCACGTGATCGCCAACATTTCGCGCGTCGTGCGTATCGGACCTATACCCCCCTCAGAGGGAGTCAATCCTTCAAACAAATAAGATCAGATCGGCACCTTGAGAGCCTTGGTGCAACAGGCAAGACGGGATCCGTATATTCGTACAAGCATCAATCGGTGGGTTTCAAGAATAGCGCCTTATGTCGTTGGTGTGCCAACTTGACACCACTAGCATTCCTGAAGATTCTGCACAAAATGTCTTCAGTCGTCGAAGCAACTCTGAAACATTACGTTGTCGTCCTGTACGGAACCCTGTTTATTCTCTCCACAGACGTCCACGTGGCGGATACAAACTGGGCTTTTCCCTAAAAGATGTAGCCGCTACAACGAGACACAGGCGCATTACCGGTACCGGTACACAAACCTCCTTGTAGACATTGGTAAGAATCGTGAGAGTATCGGCATCCACGCCTCTTCATTTGATGCGGGAAATTAATACCTCGGGCGTGAAAAAAACACATCTTCCTGTCTTGCAGAGTCTTATCGATTACCTTCTTATCTTCTGTGGGATCAGCGAGTTCTTCTTCTTCTTCCATTTGCGCCCAACCTGTTTCAGCTACCACTCGTCTCGATTTACCACTAGATGAAATGGGCCTAGGGCGATATTCAGCAACCCGCGGCACCTGTTCAACCGAGAGAGACTGGGGTCGAGAACGCTGTGACCGTTGTTCCCCTCCCCTCACAAACGGTGTACCTGTCTTCCCCGGCATAGAGGCAGGGCGGTTGACAAAGGCAGCCAATAATGCGGCAATACTGTCGGCTGAATAGAGTTCTACCACATCTGAAGAAGAATCGTTATCCTGCTGACCCTCTTTGCGCCCACTGTCCTGCTCCGAGGAAAAAATCTCTTTTAAGGGCTCCTAGGAGTTCTGTCCTCGAAAACGTTTTTTTTCGAAATTACATCATCTGAGGGGTCCAACGATCGTCTATGGCTGACTAAAAATCTGTATTGGCTGCCAAAAAGAAGTTGTTGCGTTGACGAAGGATGATCTCATCTTGTGAATAAAACGTGGAGCCTCTGTTAAGTTACTGACGAACTGCGTGTGGATGTGCTTGACTGTTTCCCCCCTGTACACCATTGTCTGAGATAGAGGATTGGTTACATCTATCGGCATCGAAGACAAGTGATCCTAGATGTGACGTACTGTAGATACCATATGGGATTCAAGCGACATGAAATCAGCTTGAACCGGTAAAAAGAGGCGTCGTGTCCTACCCATCAGGCATGAAGCTCCAACAAACGTGTCCAATCTGTTATCGTGACTTGATCACAAGGAACCATGAGTCTACCCCCTGTGATCAAGTATGTGTTGATCATGGTTCCTGGAATCACCTCGACCTTGAAGCTAGGCCTAAAGGAATGAGCTTGCTCAAGCATTCTACTCTCAGCGACGTCAACACATCCGCTATGGGTCTCGTGTACCCATCCGTACAGTACTGATCGACAAGGAATGCCCATATCCCTCCATCCTCCACTTGCATTTTCCTTGAAAGCTCGTCCACAAACGCCACTGCATCACTGACAGTTTGTTTGACTCTCCAGTGGACACGCCTACAAAAGCGGTATCATCACCCTGTCTTAGTTTCATGCTCTCAATGATCCTTTCCATGGACTGCCTAGCTGCTTTTTGGTTGAAACCAGTATCAGCTGCCGCAGTGCGCCACTAAACGGCATCCTGTTGATGGAATTATCATGCTGCTGGCCTTGGAGGTGCGAAAACATGTCCTCCCCCTAGCATCTGATTCTGTGTTGACATTCCTGGAGTCAGGATGCTGTTTTGAAACGACATCGTATTGAACGGTACCGAAGGACCATTCAATCTCGCTTTCAGCGATGACTCCTGATGGTTCACATATATGTTGGGCGGCCCTTGGGGATGAGTTGGTATCCCCTGAAAATATCCGTTGTTAGATGGAACACAAGGAGGTGCATGCGGTGACACTGCATCACTTGAGGGTTCGATAGTTGCGAATGCGGAATGTTGGGCATACCCTGTCTGTTAGTTGCTGCCGATGATTAGACCACTGCGAAGCCCGAGGTCCGACCGATCCTTGTGCCTGCATGAAATTAGCGGATGATGGAGCACCAATACATGGTGTCAACCATTGATGCTCTTGATAAGGCTATATCGACTGAGACATGTGTGACGGCTGATGCTGTTGCGTCCAGTGCGACTGCTGCTGTGGTGGCTGCGGTTGCATTTGCCACTGGGAACCATTAGCTTGTTGTCCCTGCCGCATCGATTGCTGTTGCGGCTGTTGCGACATCTGTTGATAGTCCTGTGACTGTAAATGGTACGACTCTTGCGGTTGTTGTTGCTGCTACTCCCCGGCCTCACCATGTTAAAACAGCTAAAAAGACGCTCATACAAAACGCTCATACCTCTCTCACCTTCGTAGCTGAGTACGGTATGTGCGTGGACCTTCGTAGCTGAGTACAGTTCGTGCGTAGACCGTTTCCTCGGGGCTGGGAATCAGTGTGATGTAGGGGGGTTGCGCTTACCTGTCGTCGTGATCTCTCCCGGATGGTATCCATTCCTTGTACGGTATCAAGCAAATAGTGTCGCAGCTTGCTGACGACCTACGTGCGAATGACGATCATGAACACGTACATCTCATAGCATACGGTATCAAGCCATCATCCCAGGTTAGCATGACTTAGTAAGGCATGCGATAGACATGTTAACGGGTGATAACGTGCACTTTAACAGGCTTTATTTGCTTCCGTCCACATGGGGGGGTGTTAAAAGTTAACACCGGGTGGGTAGCAACGTTCGCGAAAACGTGCCACGGAGAAACATGTTGAAGTTGTCTCTTCTTCGTAGATGTGGCATAACCGCCGCCTCTTCGAATCCTCTAGAGGGCAAACAGGGAAGCGTCCGATACTTCAATTCCTGTTTTATGGCCCCCATACCCCTAGCGCCGCGACCACCGGACAGTCACGGCCCATCATAGTATTTTGTGTAGATTCTACGCGCAGCCGCCATAACATGATTTCCGCCGTCCCATGCTAACTTACCTACAAAAGGTACACTAAAAAAAATGGACCACAAGCCAATTTCAATCAACGACCCTAAATCTTGGGCCCTCCGCTCCCGTTTACACACACGGCCAGGGAGAGGTATATCCCCTGGTTCAATCTTGCTACTTCACAGAGATAGAGAGAAGGCCATCCGAGGCAGACGCGAAAAGGACAAATAAGATGGAAAATTATGGAAAAAGAAGAGAAAGACGAAGAAAACGAGGCGGGAAAAACAAAAGAAACCCACAAGGCAAACAAAAGACATACCACACCACAATCACAATCTACAGACACAGCAGTCCTTCCCACCGAGCGCGTCTCATACACATGGCCTGCATTGCGCCACGTGGCGGCTCTCACTCCCACTACTCGCTCTTCCGCAGATACAGGTAATGCCACGCGCAGAGTTTCTCCCTGTTGGATACCGAAGGGCTGTCCGCCCTTTCTCGACGCATTGCGGCGCCGTTCACCGTGAGACAGCCCACAAGTATCTCCATGCATTCCAGCTTGGGCCGCCTGGGATGCCGTGGGAGCCTTGTGCGTCCCCAATCCAGCCCGTATGCGCGCAGACCTCATTAAGAGAATGTCCTGGGTGAAACGCAAGGATGCAAGGGGCAGTCACACGCATCGAGGGAGTCGAACATACGGACATGAAATTACGAGAGACCGACATCCCCCAACATGACGCACATGACGACATGGCACGGTTTGTTGTGCGCTATTCGTGAGCAGAAACCTTATAAACCTCCATGGTACGGTATATTTTAGCCGACAAGGACCTCGTCAAAGAAGTAGACGGGAAGGCTCCCCGCTTCATATATCCACGCATGTTTAGCCGGGTAACGACCGCTTGCTGCTTTTTTTTTGGGGTAAACCAAAGTACATGATCACGGTCATTGTGTCGACCACTAGGACGCGGCCGTGCTGGTGAAAATCTTTTTTGTCAATTTGGGGCTTATTCGTTTTTTCTGAGGCGTGTGTCTGTGTACATATTTTTGTTGAACCCACAAACGAAACAACCTGCGAGTGTTTCTGGGATTCGTGCACGTTGCCTTCCTCCTCACCCTGAGTTGGGCTTCATAGTTCACCGCAGAGTCGGCGGCGGCGGTGGAGGCCGTAACCCGGGCGCTAGTAGAATATTGGCCTCTTCGAGTATGTCGTGGGCTTCGGCTTTCTTCCCGCCCTTGTCTCTCCTTCGCCGCCCCCTCCTGCTGCCTCTGCCCGGCTTGGGTTTGGTCCAGAAGATCGTTTCTCCCTCCGACTACGTATCAGCGTGGCCGGCGCCTTTCTCCAGATCCGGGATCCACCAGCCAGACCGAAACCATTTTCCTAACCTGGCAGGAAGATCGTAAGGAGTGCATGAAGTGTTTACAGGCGACCAAAGCCACTGCATCGACATCGGCAATATGCTGCAAAACATCCGAAGGCCCGGAGGGATACTCGTTGCTTGGAGGTACTGCGCCAGCGTCAGCCAAACATTTAACTCTGTCTGGATCGTGCGGTCTTTTTGCACTTCGGGAAGAGCCCAGATTCGCGACGGCGACGCGGCATTTTTTCTTTGGCGGATAGCCATCAGCGCAAAAGTCAGCATAGACCATTGCGCGAAAATCCCGACACGTCAAAACTCATTCCTGCTGGCACCGTCTCCTTTTTTTCTGCCGCAAGACAAGAACTGACAGTATTACTGTAGTTGGTCGCGACGCGCGTAAAATGAGAGGGTTAGTGGCTCATGTTTGTACGCGCGAACAAGAGCGAGTTCCGCTCCATCGGAGATGCCCCCACGTACTACAATCATATTTTCAAGTCGCAGCTTACGAGAAGAGTGATCGACATCGCAGGCGAAAAAGGACCTCTAAAAAAACAGAAAGCAGAGTACCACAAACAAACCTATCTGCAATAAATTCATCAAAAAAATGAAATAATGGCCAACACCCGAAGACAAGCAGCATTCCCGAGATACTTGGGCTCATGGAGCCAAAAAAGCTGGCGCGGCCCAATCTGCGAAAGGACAGGCCAAGGAGAAGGCGGCTGTCGATGTTGCCGCCAACGAAAACGCCCTGGAGAAGTCAAAACGCAAGACCACCGCCGTCATTAAAAGAGCGGTAATGGTAGCTGCCGTGGCTGAAAAAACGACCATCGTTGTGAGGAAGTCCGGCGAGGGGTACCAAGCGCGAGGTATTATAGTGACCTTCAACACTCACGGCAAATAAGTCCAAGGCCGCTTCGGTCGCGAAGCACACGCCAGGCAACTTGCAAATTAACGAAAGTAAAGGTTGTAGACAACGCTCTTGTCTCGGCCAAAAAATACACGATACCAAAAAACAACTAGTCTTGATGTAAGCTCTGTTTCGGAAAAGAAGAGGAGGCGTAAGGTGTTTTGCCCATACTTACAGCAAACAATCGACAGCGCCTAGAGCATTTGTTTCAATCTCCAACATGCAAACTGTATGATGCCGCAGCCAGTGGTTCCGTCGAGCGCACGGTTGCCGTGGTTTCTCAAGCAAGGGTCGGTCGACATCGACCGAGGCTACGGTGACATGGGCCGGACCCCTCTTATCGTGGCCTCCACCATGGGATACTTGCGGGTCGTAAGGGTCCTTTTGAGACTCGGAGGCGGTGTGAGGGTGGGGAAAATGACGGTCCGACTGCTCTTCACCTGTCGATTGTCAACAAACACCTGGCCGTCAGCAAGGCTCTAGTAAAGGCCGGTGCGAACCTTGAAGCTACAATCTACCACCACCAAGCGCTTGGTGTAGACGGTACGCCGCTTCACGTTGCCGCGGCGAAAGGATTCCACGAGGTAATGTATCGTGGTGCTGATCCACGCGGGTGCGAATGTCGATAGTAAGCAAGAAAGCAGAGCGACACCCCTGTACATTTCGGCACGACAAGGGAGATTGGAAGATGTCAAAAGTTTTCGTTGAGGCGAAGGCGAATCAGTTCTTGCCTGCGTAAAACGGCGACAGGCTCGCGCTGGACGTGGCGGCTGAAAATGGACACCTGGAAGTTGTCCGCGAACTAGTACAGCGATTCGGAATCGACGGTTGTTCTCATGACGGTGGCGCGCAAGCTTTCGTGAAGGCCGCTTCTCAGAATCAAGTAGATATCGTCAATCTTCTGTTTGACAACGGTGTGGTGGACGCGGAGGGCATTGCTCTGTGTGCTGCCATGGAAGGTCGGCGTGAGGAGTGTATCAAGCTCGTTCTGCAGAGACAGGGATGCAACATGAATACCAGTGCGCGTGGATACGCCAACATGGCCCACGACAGTACCTTGCCCATCTACTCAAACCAACTTTTCCAAGACAACCCTCTTGTGAGCGCATTCGAGCTGGGGGGCTTCTATTCTCTCAGAACCATACGCTTGCTCCTTGACGCCGGCGCGGACGTGGCATCGCGCGTTCGGTATGAAGGAATCGAAGGAGATTGTGTAATGCACGACAAGCCTCGGCGATCGCCGAATCGATTCTACCTTTGTGGGAGACCGAATGGGATGCTTCGGGAGAAGGGTGCATACGCTTGCTGAAGCAGGTGAATGCAGTTCACGTGACCTCCTGGTGTTGGCAGAGCGACATCAGCCGTGCCACAGAGAGTGAACCCATCGAGAAATCAACGCCGATCGTTCGCATGCTGCCGGTTCTGAAGCGCAGGGTGACGAAGCCTCGTGCGCTCTTGGCGGCTCTGTCCAGGTGCGTGGTGTTGTTGTAATTCGTCAGGTGTCATTACGGGAAATCTTAATCTTCTGAAGACAATGAACATAAAACGTCGCACCTCGTTTCGTTATCCTCAGGTACATCGACAAGCAAGACAGATCATTCACCGGGTTCCCCGGTAACCACGTGGGAGGGCGAAGGAAAAGGAGGATCGATTCAAAGTGACACGCGTCGAAGTGCTGCTGTACTGCGGAACTCAACCCGTGGTTGTGGTGTAGAGAAAGGGTTTGAGTGGTTGCTGGATGGATGTGCGCAAGCGTTGTGGTCCTGGTGGTTGAAAAGGAGTGGGCGATGGTAGACCAAAAGAGGGCTGTTCTAAAAGGAGCATTGGATGGGGGGGATGCCATTCGACAGAATATGATAGAGCCGGTGGAGTACAAGAAAGAAGAGAAGTCAAACAGAGTGCGGGAGTGTTCGGCGAGAGACGCTCTTGCTTCTCTCGTGGGAAGAACCCGAGGTAAAAATAACAGCAGGATTCATCGATGCACTTGGCGATACCGAATACTACCGGAAGTAGAAGGACGGACTCGGGCAGGTGCTCGGACGCCAGTTATACTCCCCTAGTATGGCCAGGCGTCTGCACCTCTTTGCATACCACGGAGACAAAGATACCAAAAATAGATTAGACTTGGCGAAGTCGGTGTGTGATGCAATGCGCACGCGGTGTAAGTTGAGGAAGAAATAGAGTCCGTTCTTCTGGACGACGACACGAGTACTGTCAACGGCGATGAAGTAGAAACATCGCCCCGTGTGAAGAGGGCTCGCGATGAAATCGAGTGTGATCAAATGAATTTGCTGCAGGCGCATGCGCGTTGTTGTCCTTTCAACCGACACAGATTGGGCCGTGGTAGACCGAAAGAGAGCGGTTCTGGAAAGCGCCAGGCTTGACGCAATGAGTGTTGCCTTTCTTGATACTAAATAAAATTGAGAGTTGCGAATCGCGTGCCCGTAGCTCATAACCTAACCACACCATGAACACGAAAACTGTTCTGATCGACCCTTCAACTGGTATGGTTTCTGTGGCTGGCACGTTCAAGTGCGCCAGGCCGGATGTCAGCGGAACTGGTATGCTCCGCACGCACAATCTGCACCAATGTCGAGGATACCACCGGCGGGCCTCAGTTGTCAAGATATTTCATCAACGGGTGGTACATGTCTACAGCTTCACGAGCGCTTTCAGAAATCTGAAAACGCGAATGGCCTCGAGTGGTGAACCTTGCATGAGAAGTGTGGGAAGACGCTCAAGTAATCCCCCCCTACACGACCGCGTCAAATGTGTTTTCGATGCTTTCCAATGTGAACAACGCCGGCCCTAGGGACAACAAGGCCAGGAACAGCACCAACAAGAACACCCTCGCCAATAAGAAGAGATGGTGAAGCAACAACCGGTTGTACACGAGAAAGTCGAGGAGGTCGAGTCCAAGGCATCTGCCTTGAAGGAAGCTCTGATGTACCAGGGCATCACGGTAGTGTTCGTGCCGACGATTCTACTCTCAAAATCTCCGTAATAGACACAATAAGCGTAGTGACGGTTGTAAGCGCTAACCACGCAGCACTGATGCTAGCTCGTGTCATGGAAATTGATCAGGATCACACCACATGCGATGAAGTAGATACCCCTTGAATATCATTCCCCATTGCCGACCGCTTTGAGCGCATCTAAATCAACGGAGAGGGCAAGTTTACTCCCGTAAAGCATGCCAAAACGATTGTCGACCAGGGCGAAGGAGTTCAGGCGCAAATTGCTGAGACAGTCACGTGCGTGCCCGGCGGAGACGTGATCCTGTGGGAGGAGAAAAAGAAGCGTTGCTATGACCGCCTACCAGCAGTTTGTGATACGTGAACAGCCCCTTGCTAAGAAAGCCAGATTTAGGCCATGCATCATCGAGAAAAGCCGTTTGTACAGATGGAGGTGTCCCACGAGGTAACCACGTGCAACACCAATCACATCCGCGAGCAAAAGCCCGATGAGGTGTGCATCGTGCTCACGATAAAGGAGGCCGTCAAGGCATTTCGCCCCCTGGAACACAGAAACAATTGAGCTTCGCATAGAGGGTGGTGTAGGTGCACCAATCGAAAACGCGCTGGCCATCGCTACTGTGTAGCCGAAGCGTCACACCGAGACCCCGGGGCACAGCATTGCCACCCCCGGCTGTCACGCGTGAGTGCGTGAAACTTTCGGCGATCTTGCTGGTCAAGTGGGGATGAGGATGAAGCAGCTGTACATCGCTCAGTATGGCACGGTTCCCGGAAAACTACGGGCGTGACCGTGATCTCATGGAGCAAGCGATTCGCGAGGTATCTCAGGCTGGCGCAGTGTAGCATGAAGCCAGCCTTTCGTCCATCAAAAACACAAAATCACACGTCCCCATAATTGTGTGATTGGCATTGTTGAAAGGTGTGTGTCAATCGCTTTGTAAGAGCCATCGGCGGACATCGCAAACGGGGTGCGGTATCTTCTGTCATCTAGAAACGATAAATTGCCGCGGCTTGCTCCGATCTTGATCCGGCTTTCTTCCATGTGTCTACGTGCGGGACAAATAGCACGAGAATAAAATAGCACAGCTTGTGAGAGGAAACAAAACACGCATCGCTGTTGAATACTTCCTGTCTCTGAAAAAACTGATTTGCCGTGTGAGAGAAGAGGCGGCGGTTATTTCACTCGTCGGCGCCGCCCGTACTCTCCGACTCCGTAGTTTCGGACATGGCTTCATCCTCGTCGGTGCCACTAGAGGCCTCCGACTCCCCGTCGCTGTCGCCGCCCGAAGCCTCCGACTCCGACGTCTCGCGAAAGTGAAGCAGGGCCTTGAAGTGCCCGTATCCGTCGTGAAGTACCATAGGGCAGTGTCCGCTGGGAAGGGGTACCCCGACATCGCAAGGAGCCAAGATCCCGTTGTCGTGCTTGACGATCCTGATCCCGTCCAAGGGGAGGACTTTTCCCATGAGCAGAAAAGCCCTTCCGTCAAACTGCCCGCGAAAGCACAGCATCACTTTCTCCCACATTCCCCTCGCCATGATTACCCACATCGGGTTGTCAACAACGTCGTCAAAGTCAGCCAATTCTTCGCCGTCCGCGAAACTGAAGAAAACGCGAGACATTTCCACAACTTTGCCACGGAGGGTCGGCACGTACTTCATCATGTCGTCCGTGAGGTTGCCGCTGACGGACGAGACAATGTCCTCAAGGGGGATGTTCTCACGGAACATGTTGAGGGCGATGGGGGCGAGAATTTCACAGCACCGGTCTCTGCCAGCAACGTCCACCACCCTGTACTTGACCCCTTCGGGCGTAGACATGACGCGGTCCATCTAAAGCCTCGGGTCTTGAGTCTTCGGTGTCACGTTTTTCTTTTTTTCTTGTTGTTTTTCCTCGCGTTGCTGCGCTTCGTACTCATGTAGTGAGAAGTATTGATTAAGTAGATGGTTGCAAGTGTATGTGCGAGGCTTGAGGGGGGGGCTATGGTGACGAACTATGTCAAACATTATAGGGGCCACGTGAATGTGTAGGAGTCGTGTCAGGGGGGTATGGTTAGTAGGAGTTGTGCGTGGTGAGAGTGGATTTTATTGGATGGCCGAGGCGAAGAGTCAGACTTGGGGGAGCTGGTATTATTGTTTTGAGGTTGGGTTTTGCTGAATGTCAATTAGTGTCCCTTGACTGCTTTTGGGAGAGTGGCGGTACTGGAAGTTGCAAGTGTGGTGGTGATGAGCTGGGTGAGTGATGTGAAGTTGTAGTGCTCATAGACGCAGTGCATTTCTCAGGTTGGGTTTTCAGGTTGGGTTTTCATAATAGCCAACTTGAAAACTCAACCTGAAAAATGACTTTTAATCGATTAAAAGGCCTGGTTGAAGCCAAAATCCAAAAGTATATTATGCCGTAGATAACACATACATACCCCTCCACACAATTTGTAAGTGGTTTGTGTTATTTTGAAGTATCTGGAAGATGAATATTATGAAAGTACGAGAATTGCACACATACAAAGTCCAGCTTCTGAAAGCGGAAGGGGTCGAGGCTCTACTATACTGGATATCCCACCAACTCCTGCAAACCGAGTTATCGGGTTTGACCGTTTGGGCGTCAATTAACGGTCGCCCCCTTATGCTCAGACCCGTAAAAAGACACAGTGCCACAGCTGGACGCAGCGCACATGGGTAGCAGTAGTGTCCGCGGTGGGGAGCCCGCCTTTGGATATCTGCATGTCTAAGATATGGGAGACTTGGGTTTCTATCTGTCTAGTTCGCATGTTGATTCGGTAGGAGAGATAGATGGAGAAAGGAGAGAGAGAGACTCGTGTGAAATAATGCACTGCTGTTAGCCATCACCAAGGAGATGAATCGACCAGTCCCCCTCCCCAGGCAATGGGGGGGCGATTGTGGTCCGAAATACGTCCTACCTGATTTCAGGAGTGTCTACAAGCTTTGAATCTACCGTCTGGGTACTGTAACTAAGGAGGCAGAGAGACCCAGCACACCTCGTGAGGAAAAAAGGAGCAGCAATGGAGCTGGACAAAAGACTAAAACAACCACCAAGTGGGGGACGGGGGGTAGGGGGGGACACACGGGAAGAAGGGTCGACTGACACCCGGCAACACCGCTGCAACTGAGGAGAGATGGCACAACGTGAAGCGAGCGAGATATGTGCTGGAGCTGAACATGGCGGAGGTCTGTGGGCAGGGCTCTAGGGGCCCAGATATGGTAGTTGGAGATGTTGGTGATACCCCCTTCTTGTCTCATCCGGGGGCCCTGTTGACGTCTGAAGATATTATACTCTCCTCTCTTGTCTTCCCTTCTACCCCCTTCTATGGGGGCTTAGGGGCAAAGCCTCCCCCCCACACCCTGGGGAGGCTGCCCTGGGGGGTCAACGGGGGCATATGGCTCACTTGTCTCTAATTCTTGAGAATTCGGGTTGACTGGGCAGCCGTGAGCTGTTTGTTGATCCAGAAATTGTTTCTTTCGTTCAAGTGGCAGAGGCAACTACATCGGATGTGCGTCAAGGAGCGGGCTCCGGGGGCGCAATTGTTGCCTCGTCGAGCGCGCTTACGGAGCTATGGCGGTTGGTTGTGCGCTACAACGGAGGGGAAGCTGCCAAGTCCGGCGTTCGGGAGGAACGTCACGGCGATAGTCGGCATTCATCAATAACTTCGTCGTGGTGCGTACGAGAAATCTCTCCACCTTCAGACGAGGGTTGTGCGATCTTATCGCTACAGTGTCAAGATCTCTGCGCTACCACGCGCGGGTTTGAGCGAGATCATCAGTAGGACGCTGCAAGTTGCCATTGGAGGAGACGTTCGTCATCTTGCGGTGTTTTTGCGTCGATACCTTGAGCATGGTTCACACCATTGCTCTGGCTAAAAGTTGCATGCAGAAATGCGGCGGAATCTCGAGCAGGACTGCTGTTTTGAGCGTGACTCATCTTCGCGCCAGTGTGAGGTTTCTCGCGCGTCTAAACCTGCTGGAGCCAGGAAGCTTCGGGGCAGGATTCTTGTTGGGATGTAGTGTCTCGTGAAGCTGCTTTCTGGTGTGGCTTACTGGTGTGCCTTGAGCTCCATTTCTCGCTGCAATAGGGGTGAGCAAAACGCATTTACATACAGCTGTCAAATTGCTAATTTTAGCGAGTTCTCACCAGGGATACAAAGAAAGCGTATTTTTACTGGCGTCAAGTTTCTTACAGCAGCTTGCGCTATCTTGAACTTTGGGTCGAGCTTTCTTGTGTTTGCTTGTTAAACCAGTGCCCAGCATGCGTGTGTACTTGGGTGGTGATCTTACAACAGTGCACATGCCGCATATTTGAACATCATACAGTTGACGACATGCCGCTGAGTCTCTGTTTGAGCATTGCGGTGCAGAGTGGTCTTGAGCCGGTCAGTGAAGTCGAATACGGAAGTACGCCGAGGCCACCGCTCTGACAACCATCTCATCGCATTACTATCATGGAGGTTCACATGTTTCTGGCCCCTCGTTCAGCCATATTGACAACAAGATCGTGCGGCCAATTTAGCGGGGCTTGGTGCTTTGCGTGCAAGGTTCGATACAGCTTGCCTTGGCGGGGTCTGTTTTTGGAAGCGGCGCGAGCATCTGTGGCCGAGCATGGCCATGCCTTCACCTATCGCGTGTTCATGATCGAGCATCGATATTGCCTACCCTTGTCTGCGAGCGTTTCTTGCGTATTCTTGATCGTATCCAGGTGCGTCGGTTCACGGCGCACGATGATGGAGGCGTCCACGTTATGTGGGACGAGCTCCCACGCAGGACGATGTGCGGGGTAACTTTTGGTTGAGACCACCCGCAAATTCAACTGGTGCCTGTAGGTATTCCGCACGTTTTGAGTGTTTTTTCCTATAGCGGGACGGTTCGACTGGGTTTGCGACTTGGGCAGATAAAGTATGCGAATTTCATGGGCATTTATTTGCCGTTCGTGGATGTTGTGATGTCTTTCCGACTCCTTGCTACTGATGTGTTTTGTAGACCCGCCAGAAATCAGGCGGGGAGGACCCTAGGACCAGAATCCTTCCCCCTGTGGCCTCGTGGGGCTGGTCGATTCACCTCCTTGGTGATGGATTGTAAACACCGTGTGTTTTTTCACACGAATCTCTCTCCATCTATGTATCTCTCTCTCTCCTGCCAAGATGCCAACCAAACAGATAGAAACCATATTCTTCCATATCTTAGACATGCAGATATCCAAAGGGCGGCTTCCCACCGTGAGCTGCTGCTACCCATGAGCGCTGCGTCCACAATCCTCCCAAAGTTGATTTCTACAGGTAGACAATAATCAGCTTGATCTCAGATAGTAGGCAACTGGATATACTCAAGACATATGACAGCGCTGTTTTTGAATGACAAACACCCATACACAGGGATGTCATGCGGGATTCGTGCCATTCCGTTAGTCAACGCATGTGTTTGACCCTCCCATACAAAGCACGTGGAATGCCCGCATTGAAGCATATTTTTTAATCCTGGCTGACCCTGGTTTCTCGATAACACTAGATACCACTTGTAAATCAGGCAGGGCCTAGGGCCAGAATCCTCCCTCCCGTGGCCTCCGGGGGCTGGTCGATTCACTTCCTTGGTGATGGATTGTAATGTAAACACCGCGTATTTTTTCACACGTGTCTGTCTCTCTCCATCTATCTCTCTCTCCTGCCAACATGCCAACCAGACAGATAGAAACCCTTATCTACCATATCTTAGACACGCAGATATATTTCCAAAGCGCGGCTTCCCACCGAAACTACTGCAACCCAGGTGCGCTGCGTCCACACACAGGTATTTGTAGGCAGATAGGTGAAGCCCAAAGCGCATGCTACTTTTTAGTAGAACCCGATGAGCTCCACAAGAAAGGGGGCTTTGACTACAAGCCGCAAACATGGACAAAACGCGAACTTTGAATGATAACTCGCCATAAACGGTCAAATCGCCTAAGCAATCAAGCATACAGCCTTGTACGCAGAAGCAGATGGAAACCTCACGAAAAGGTTTAAGTCCCAAAGGTATCCTACAAAACGTGTTGAGGAAACAGCACTGTCACTGCAGTCGCTTTACAGCTATTCCTTAGGCTGTAGCTACAAAGTAGCTGGTGTATGTGATGTGAGATTAGGTAGGCCAACACACAGAGTGATCTTATTATCCACACAGACGCCCAAGCTGTCTTCACCTGACGGTTACAGACTTGGCAACGCCTTCACAATACCGCATAAACCCATGGAGTAGAATAGATTCGTTCTTGTACCGCAAGTACTCTAACATGTCCTCTCGAGAACTACGTCATTCCAGTACTAATGCATCAGATCGAACTCTCTCTCAATGTCCTCTCGAAACAATATCCATGTCCACTCCAAACAATGCTATCTAAAGGACAATCTGATTCAATATCAATTGTTTTGCCTTTTTCAGCTGCGTTGTATCAGCAGTGAGTGTTTTCCTTCAACACAAATGTCCCGAATTGCTTTCAACATAAACACACACATACACCATCCCATCCACCCCTCAAGACATAAAACTCTGATTACGAACAGAGGGGGAGATTAAACTCGACTTGTTTCCCTTCGGCAGCGTCTTGACATCTTCATGCCTTATTGTTCTCGCGCTGCGATTGCCACCGCAGATCTACCATTCAAGTTCGAGTACTTCATCATGATTCTGTCGTCTCCTTCATCTTGGTCACCTGTTTGATGTGGTTCAATTTTCGCTCAAAAAGAATGTTCGGGCACGTTATTAGTTGCTGTTATGTTGTTTCATTTTAGCTCGCTCCTCCGGCGGCAGTCGGTAGCTTTTCCGGCTCCAGAATAGTATCTGCTGCGAAACTC